ATCACATGAAAGTCTTAATTACTATTTTCAAAGTGGATCAGAGTGATGTTGTGTCTTTTGCAGGAATCATTTTAAAGGAGAAAATTATGACCAGATCTACACTTGGTCTAAAGAAAATATAAAATCTTTTAAAAGATGCTAATTTATTTAAGGAAGTTAAATAGAAAAAATAAAATAAAAAAATATTTAATGTAAATGAAAGGAAAAAAAGAAATTAAAAAACTTTTATTTTGTTTAATTTTATGTGTTTGGCGTTTTATTTGTTTTATGCATACTCTTCGGTCAGTGGCAGGCACTGCATATGGTATATATGGTATACATATATATATACATTTGGACATTAATTTTTAACGTTTAAAAACAGAAACCCCCAATAGTTTGTGTTATGACCAGTGTTGGGCACGTTACTTTGAAAAAGTTATTAGTTATTGTTACTAGTTACTTCTCCCAAAAAGTAACTGAGTTACTAACTGAGTTACTCCACAATAAAGATAACTAGTTAGTAGTAAATGTAACTATTGCGTTACTTTTGTGATTCTCGCCCCTGTAGCCCTCACCTTCCGGCCCCCACCTTCTCCCGTGTGTTTCAAATGCCAGCTGAATAGAGTGGACGACAAAGACAAGTACTTGCAGAGTTTTGCATGTATTGCAACTCAATGTAAATGGCATCTGGTGGAACGCTATTTGACGGGCTTATAAACCCCGTCAGATAGCTTTACCCTTGCTTAACATGGAGGGAACGGTATCTGATGGACTTCTAAACCTAGTCGAAGTAATTAGTTAGATTACTCGTTACTATAAAAAGGTAACGGCGTTAGTAACTTTCAACACCGTTACTCCCATCACTGGTTATGACTGAGAAGAAGATTAGTGTGAGGGTGAATACAGAGATCAATTAAACAAATATCCCAGCTAAGACAACCACAATCCACTACTTTATAACCACAGTTCTGCAACATTTGCATCATCAGTAGCTGTTCAGATTCAATACGGATCTGATTAACAGATAAAATAGCGCATAAAGCATGAAAATAAAATATATTGCACCCACCAAGGATGCTGATTATTTTTAAACAAAATCCATCCTTCTGTCTTCTTGCAGGAAATCTCTCTCCATTTACTGTAGGATCAGCCATTGAGGACAGAAAAACTTTTTGCAAAAGCGGATCTAAAATACAAATTGTCGCCAGCTTAACTTGGCTGTAAATATTTTTGCTCTACCTGAACAATCAGAGGACAGAAAAATAATGATGTAGTAATGTACCTGCTAGCTGGTCCTGTGGGACAAATCTGAAATCTGATTAGTCGAAGAAAATGTTCCTCATGAATATTGTGAAGGCAAAATCATCCAACACTGCAGATTCTGAAGGCGCCGGGCAGATTTGATTGACATAGCAACTAAAATCTGATTGGACAAAAAATATAGCAACCACATAAACAGCGCAGCCAAGAGAAATGCTACAAAATTAAGAGAATGGATTGTTTAGAATAGATTAATATAGTTGGAAAGAAGAAAATTAAAGTTTAGGTTGTGAATGTAGGTGAGTGTTTCTGATTGATTTTAGGCCAGCAGTGAATGCCTTGAAGGTCTGCACAGCCCACCACTGTCTTTTGTTAACAGTATTATTATGAAGTGCTTTATAAGTTTAACTGTATTAATTGTATCTAACTTAATTTTATATATACTATGATACAAGGTTCCAAGCATATTTAAGTAGCAGCATTTTTATCCTGTAACTTAAGTGAGAAATGTTTAACAAATCAATTAGAAATCAATTTAAGGCTCAAAGATGTTTGCCTAGTTGCTTCTTCCTGGAAGAGGTAAATTTAAAGCGTACCTATTTGACAAATTCAGGATGAATTGTACTCTGCTAAACTAAAAGATTTAAGATTCTTTAAAAACCTAGCACAGCATCATGAGAAATGTTGGTCGAAATTTTGCACATAAACCTTCAAATCACTGAATTATTGAATATGAATGTGTTGCATTCTAGTACAATTTAATTAGTGAGGAGAGGTTTGCTTTAAAAAAAAAAAACAATGGAATCCCTCTCCATCTGTTATGTATAAAAGGTGCATGAATGATCTTTTGTTGCAGCAACTGGCAAGAAAACGTTTTACCTAAGGAGGAAAGAATGGATTACATTAAATGCCAGGAAAATTTGGATGCAGACTTGACACCTGTACCTGCAAATATGAGGAAGAATGCCTTCAGTAATTGAATAAGGCACTTTATCACAGCTGCAAAGGCACAAAAAAGTTCCTGACAAACCCGCTAAACTAAAGATTTAAAAAGTTGGCTTTCAGTCTGTTTTTTTTTTTCCCTCTGAAGCAGTTTCAGTGGTTATTAAGAACTAGTTTTGTTTTTTATATTTTTTTCATATATTTATTAAAACAGTTTTTATGTCCTCACAGTAAAGTAAGATATGAATAATCAAAGAAAAATCTCCTAGTGACCCTTCTGTACTATTATTTGAAGAATACAGACAGAAGAAAATCTGTTTGTGCTGCTCACATCCCCTCTACCTGCACAGCTCTTGCCTCTTTTCAACCTCAAGACTGCCTTTGCTGCAGCTGTGCATCGATGTAAAGCACATAGATGTTATTTCACCCCTACCAGTAGTGTGCCAGGGCTTATTATCGGCTATCATTGCTAGCCCCGCCTACTTGCATGCATATTGTGGTGTTGTTCAAGGAGGACTGTAGCGTCATACAGAAAAAGGGAGAGGGACCTAGAAGCTGTGCCTGTTCCAATTTTGTAAGCTAAGTCAACAATTTTCTTAGAACACCCCACTGTTGCTTTAAAGAACTAAAAAGTTTTGCAGAAATAATGAACATTACATTTCAACCTTAGTAATGCTTACAGTGAATGATTGAACATTTGAACATGTTTGAACATTTCATGCTTAATACTGGACTAAGGGTATACATGCATTCGTCCTATGTTCTATACCTGCTTGTCCTTGCAGGGTTTTTGGGGATGGAGGAGCAGCAGCTGTTGCTTTTCTTTAGCACTTACTTGGTGAGAGTTTGGGTGCACCCTGCAGGGTTCTTTGTTGGTTACAGACCAATGCAGAGAAAAACAACAGTGCCAGGAACTGGAGTGTGCACAGACCAAATTACCTTTTAGTCACATTTTTGTATGGTCATGCAAACTCCAAGCAGAAAGACCCCCGGCTTCAATTCAAACCAAGGAACAACACTATCAACCATGCAAACCCAGCCTTTAATCTTCAAGTAGAATTGCTGAGATGTTTGGAATTGTTTCAAGACATTGAACCTTTTTTACTGAAATACACCGCCTTAGCAAAGCTATTCAGACATTCATCAAATTCAGGTGTTCCTGTCAATTTCATGAATATAGCTGTTGAAAATCCAGCAGCTAGAAGGGGTCGCTCTCTTGAGCTCAGTTAATTCCATCTTAGTACCATAAGGATGCCATCAATGGAACTTTCTATAGAGAGCTTTACACATCCAGGTGACTAAAGTGCTTTACACAAAACAAATAAACACATATAAAGCATGAAATAGGCAGAAAAGACAACAGCAATGGTAAAACTAATAGAATAGGAGTAGTTACCAAAAAAATAGTTGTCAGTTGCCTAAAAGATAGAAAATAAAAACTACAGTCCTCGTTCTTCTGAGCATCTAAAAGCTGCAGATTACCTGATTTCTATTGTAAAATCATGCAAGACAGCAACTCGAAATAGTAGGGTCATTAAAGCTGAGAAGAAAATGCACTGATATCTCCAACCTTATTGCAGTCAGTAGCTGCTGATTTCCAATCTGTAGATTTACTGTAGATTAGCATAAAAACAGTGCAGAGAGAGCTTAATGGAATAGGTTCCCATGGCTGAGCAACTGCATCCATGACTCAACATCAACAAGCTGAATGTGTCGGATGCATTGGTGTAAAACAAGCTGCCCCTGGACTCTACAGCAGCTGAGACATGTTCTCTGGAGGGACAGTTCATGCATCTCTATCTGGCAATCTAATAGATGAGTCTGAGTTTGGCATATGGACACAGAAGGAAACAGGCCTTGTTACATTTTATCTCCAGGGATCACACTGCCTCACGTCGATGTATTTCCTGAGCACTGCTTCCTGTGTTCTTCTCCATCACTGACAGTCACTGCACTAAGTTAGTAATAGAAAATGCAGGCAGCATTTCGTGTTATAGAGATTACTGACAGATTTTTACAGAACTTCGGTTTCCTCTAAAATGCAGCAGTACAGAGCTAGGGTCAATGGAGTCAGGTTAATGTCATCAAAATGTGCTTACTGACTTCTACCTATGAATTATATTTATTTCAAACTTAATCCTAGAGCATGACATTGCAGTGCTGAAAAAAAAAAAAATAATAATAGCAGAAGGAGAGCAAACATGAAATAAAGTATTTAAATCAAATGTTTAACAGCTGATCTTACTGTGGCGGATTTCAGATGCAGCAGTTTTAATGATTTCTTTCAAATTTGCACGCTGCTGTTTTAGAGTATCAAAGAATAATCCTTCCTGAAATCTGAAATCTGTAAACCCTATACTTTTTGAAAATATAGTCTCATCTATTTAAACACAAATAAAGAAGCATTAGGTGCTTACCGAAATTCCGTTTAATTTGCTTTTGTTTTATTGCCGTTGTACAGTTGTTGCAAAGGTTTTTTTTTGCATTTCACCATTAATGTGCTTGGTACTTTTCGTAAAAACACTTATTTGTCAAGTCATGAAAAAAAAAACAATTTTCTTGCAGTTGCTCGACATCCTCTAAAAGCACTCGCTGCACAACATGGGTAATAGCAGAATTGTTTACATCTATATTAAAAGGAAGATGATTTGAAAAGAGTAAGAGATGTGGATGCAGAGCTGCAAACACTCAAGCTAACACTGCCTTCTTGAATCTGAACACCACATAAAGACTCTGTGGAAAGCTGGTGCTCAAATGACTGCCCTCGCTGAGACGAACACTCTGCCGAAAGGCTAATGTTTTCTTTTTATCTGCAGGTGAGGGAGAATGCTAAGCAGGACCTGAAGGATGGGCTGGCCCTTTACAACTCAGAAAACAACATAGGCCTTCGAAACGCATGGAACATCATCCAGGCAGAGGTCGGCACATTACAAAAGGACTGGAAACATTAACATCAATGTTTAAACGCCTAAATTCAAAGTTATTCTGAAATATTCCAGCTAATGCATTTTCAGACTTGTAGCTGTACCATTAATATAATATTTGAAAAAATTCTAAACTGGCTGGTGAAGCAGTCTCCTTTCCATTATTTATGACCAACAAACCGATAAAAATGTGTTTTATCACCAAGTTTATCCCAGGTCTCTTTGGATTGTGTTAACTATGTTTGTTTTGAATTTAATGTGTCAATCACAGTGGAAGTGCTGCGGTGTTATAGCGTACACTGACTGGCACGACGCCCTGAGGGAGAAAGTGGTTCCTGACCGCTGCTGCCAGGAGCATTACCAAAACTGTGGCCGTAACTCCACCAACATGTTCTGGAACAGGGTGAGTTCCCAGTGACGTAAAGGCAAGCCTGTACTATTTTATAACAATATCAACTACATGTTTGTTCATTTCAGTAAAAGGTTCAACACATTTTTACATAAATGAATTACATACCGTGTGATACATTTGAATTACATCTCTGTTTATTCGATTATTTTCTGGGGAAGGAAAACCAACTTTACTGTATGAGCAAAATATGCTCTCAGTACTTGTCTGGGCTCCTTTTGCATGAAATAATGGCACAATGCCAGATGGCATAGATGAGGTGTTCGGGAAGCACAGGCTGCTTTAACGGAGAGCTCCAAGGTAGGGAAAATCTATTATATTGGAGATTTCTTTGATAGAAAAAAACCCAAAAGTACCCTGGATTTATCTAATAAAAGAAAATAAAGTTGGACTACAGACAAAAATTATATCTTTCAGTGTATAGTATATTTAACAATCAAAGTCAACTTTAAATATATGAGTTTTTAACTCAGATTTAACTCAGGGTTTCATCATTCTGATGTCTGTAATCCTCTCCTGACCAAAGCCTGCAGATTCTCTATGGGTTTACATCAAAATAGAATAGAATAGACCTTACTGTCAATCAACCACGTAACAGTACCTTACATAGAAGACTGAAATTGCATTTCTTTAAGCTTTCTGATCAGACTAGTTTAGTGAAGTTACCGTGGAGATTAAAGCCAGGTACTTTTGGCCAAGTCCTGCTGGAAAAGGAAATCAGCATTTCCACAAAGCTTGTCAGCAGAAAAAAGCACAAAGTGCTCTGCATTGAGGTTCCCTCTCTGACTTTGGATCTGATAAAACCCAGTGGACCAACACCAGCAGATAACATGGCTCCTCCAATAATCACTGACCGTGAAAACTTCACACTGGACTGCAAGCAACTTGGATTCTTCTAAAGGGGTAATTTCTGGCCAGATTTGGACCAGTGAGCAGTCTCTCTTTTCCAGACAAGTATAAATTATCTTCCTCATATCTCTGCTTCAGAAGCAGCTTAAAAGAAATAAGAGGTGAAGAATATGACAGCTTTAGTCCATGCATTGGATGCATCTGTATATGCAATGTTTTAGAAATTCTGACTGACTCTAAGTTGTGCTTTGTTTACCTACCAACTGCTCTTTTTGTATATCTTGGTTACAATTTCCTTTTCTCTTTCTCCAAGCTGACCATTAATAATATGCTTGGATCGAGAACTGTAAACATTTAGCAGCCTTTTGTCACTTTTCGTCTTTGTAGAAGGTGTCAGTGACCTCGGCAGCTGGTTGTGTAGGCCTCAACAGAACATATTTGCATTAAAACAACGCTTACTAATATTAAATACTATGAAGATGTCCTCGTGTGTCCAATCATTCTGTACAGTTTATGAGTTTTCCTTTTCAGTTGAGTTACTAAAATAGATTACCTTTCAATGGTGTTTTGATGTATGAGATGTGCATGAATAAGTGCAATTCTTGTCCCATTGTTCAGAGAACAAAGATGCACACAGCAAATGCAGCTACAAAAGGAGGGGGAAAAATACTACTGACAAAGGAATGCAAAAATGGACAAAAAGCAAACAAACAATATGCTCAGAGAAGGATCCAAGGAGGGCACGGAAGATAAAATGAGCAACATCTGCACAGAAAGTGACCACAAAATGATGAAAAAGCTATTCCAGAGAGCACAAAAAGAGCCTGACAAATTTTGGAAATCATTTAAAGTGTTATGCTTTTGCATTGTAAGCTGTTAAGCTCTTTATCTCGTTTTAAGTATCTGTCATGCAACCTGATACACATGCAACATCAAATCCAACATTTACTGCATATTTGTTCCACAAGCTCATTGATTGCATTACAGATTGTGTCCATTCAAACCCGTTTTACTTTTACTGCAGAATTCCTGTCATCATGGGCCGTTTTTCTGTTTCACAACTGCTGTCGCAGCACAACGTCCTCAACCCATTACATCTCTAATTTCCTACTTGGTCTGGCATGTGGTTTGTTAGCAGGTCCAGGGTAAAGGATTAAAAGCTGTAATGTAACTGCCAAAATGAGAATAGGCAGACAATGAGGTGGTCCAGTGGGAAAGCTCATCCCTGAAAGCTTGTGTGTAATCCTGCCCAGAGGAAACAGCTGCCTGATTATTTCCTTTGGTTCCATTTTCTGCTTCCAGATCCCCACTCAAGAAGGAGCATCTCCTTACCATTGAAACCAAAGTTAAATCCCTCACCTCACAGTGAGGGACTTCTGATTGAGACTACAGCAGAAGGAAATTGCTATATTAGGGGTTCCCAAACATTTTCAGCCTGGTTCTACTGAAATAACAGTGCTGAGGCTTTTTCATTATACATTTATTTAATACCACCCTATTTAGCCCTCTATACACCTTACAGGTTGCATCATTCTGATTCTCAAAATCATCTTCTGACACTCAGTGACCCAATCTGTGTTAAAGAATGCATTAATTGCCTTACATCTGCTCAGATTTTCTCCCACAATCCTACACTTGAAACCTGAGTTTACGTGTAAATTTGATATTTATCCACCACAAAGTATATTTATATATATATATATATATAAATAGATAGATAGACTGCATAATGTGTATGTTTATATATGTTTCTGTTTTGTTTTGCAATACAGGGCTGCTTTGAGAAAGTGGAGGAATGGCTGGATGACAACAAGCTTCTACTGGGAACCATAGGCATGGTCATCTTGGTGGTGCAGGTGGGAGTAAAAAAAATAGTTTTCTTCTCCCTCCCCGATTGCTCTTTTATCTTTTTGCATCTGTCTTGCAACATGGTAAAAAAAAAAGGAAAAGAAAGTGTGCATCCAGCAGCCCTGTGCCATCTCGTTCGATCGAGAAAGCTATGAAGCTTTAGCTCTGTGGGCGTTCAGGGCTCCCACACATCTTGAAATATTGCTGCTCTGTTCTCTATTCCTGTCTGGAAGATTCAAAGCCACATGGCTTTGAGCCAAGGAGGTTTCAGTCAGGTAGGAAAGAGCTATTAGATGATTGGAAAGCCAAGATACTGAATGCAGAGAGGCAGGTAGGAAGTCATAGATTAAAGCGTCAGAAAGGAGGCTGATAGATATTCCTCAGATAGTATCGTTTCTCCTCTAGTCATAAGAAGTGCCTTATATCCATCCCAATTCTACCAGCTGAAATAAAGTTTTCGTTGTTTTTAGGTTGTTTTCTAGGGTGATGCTTAACAGCAACATCTGAGAGGTAAAAGCATTTATCTGGGAGCTGTCTTTGTGGAGATTAAATACGTCTAAGTCTGACTGATATGAGACACATCAGTGCTCTTGTGTGTTTTTGATAGATTGAAGTCAAATCAAACCAAATGTGTACATAGAAACAAAGAAGTCCCAAGCCCCTCCTCCTTTTCGTCTTTCTGTGTTGAGCTTCCAAGAGCTTCCATTTTATTCCTAAAAAAATAATGAGAATCCTGCTCCAGCTTCAGTCTTGTTCTTCTTACTGGGTCAACTGCCTGTTGACCCAGTTGTAACTCATTACCCTCGATAATTAGAGTTCAATTTCACTACGATTTAGTCCTACCACATCCTGGAAACTATCCAGACTGGACATCTGGGCTTTATTCAGCAGTAAGTTTTTATGTAATAACTTCATGCAGATTTTAGGGGTTTTTTAATTCTTGTTTTTTTACAGTTTTAACCTCTTAAAATCCACCGGCCCGCCGCTGACCTGTTGTGTGTATTTTCAATGAACACAGCATTACGCATGAAAATAACCATGGTTAACATTTTACCAATAAAGACATGTTATACATCTTTAGAAGGAATAAATTCTCCACAATTCAACCACCAAGTTCAACAATCACCAATGCACAATAAATAGAAAATAAATCAGCATTTAAAATTATAATTTTTAAAATAAAGCTTCTGCTTCATACACTGCAAAAAAAAAACATCTAGAAATAAGTTAAAAAAGGTCTTAAATTAAGTGTATTTACCCTTAATTTGAGCAGGTAAATAAGGGGATCTGCCAGTGGAATAAGTATCTTTACTCCTAACATAAGATAATTAGATAATATACACTTGAAATAAGACAAAGCAATTGTTTTTGTCTTATTTTAAATGTAAATTGTCTTGTTCCATTGGCAAAGTGTCTCACTTACCTCCTCAATTCAAGAAAAAAATGCACTTAATTTGAGCAAAAATTACTTATTTAGATTTCCATTTTTTGCAGGTTACCTTTGTCTTAAATTGTTTATATTCCGTTTGTGCACTGATGAAGTGCAGTGCTGAGTTTTTTTCAAATTGGTGGGGTGTCAACTTCACGCAGTTGAAGCTCCTTTTTGATGAGGCGGTCAAGGGTGCAAACACTGTGCATCTGAAATGCAGAGCGGTGAACCGCGTCCAACGCACCCGGTCTGAACACACCATTACACACAGACTCCATTCATATTATGCCAAATAAAAGTCTGGCTGCTATTGGTTAAGGCCATATGCAATGTGTTGCTTTGTAGCCAATGGTTTTAAACAAGGGTAAGCATGGCTAATTTGAATAATGCAGACCTGATATATTGCCTTTCCTAACAGTACATGGGCGCAGCAGAGACTGGATCATTACACACGGTTAGATCATCAGATTAATCTGTGAGAAACAGAGAAACATATATGCTTCAAAAAAATGTTGTGGTCATCAAAATGCTTCAATGGGATTTTATGGGTGTAATTGTTGTGTGAAAGCAATTAGCACAAGTTGGAGTAATTTGGGATATTAGGAGAGGTTTGGAGACGCTGATGACACCAAAAGTTAAAAGTCCCATAACTCTGACACTGTTATTTCTAGAGGTCTGACATTTTCAGCATTTATGATTGACGTAATGTAGAATAAATTTAATTTAATAACACTCGCCTGGTATTAAAAGAAAAAGCCCTATTATTTTTTTTAAATAAAAAAAAAAAATTAGGTAATCTTTGAACTGATGCAGTTTAGGCTGTGTTTTAGCCACACTATTTTCATTAATATTTTCAGAAACTATAGGGTTTTAGCTTTGGCCTTACATTTTCTTGGTTGTTTGCTTTTCCACTTGGTTATGCAAAAAGGCAAGGATTACTTAAAACAAGGCGGATGTTAACAATTTGGTGTTTAAATATTTCCAAATGTTGGCTTCTTGTCCATATTTTATTAGAATATATATTTTTGAGAAATGTGTTGATACCAATGCAATTATATCACAGTTAAAGCTGCTTTTACTCTCTCACAGAAAAACCGAGATGAAGATATGATGCTTTATTTGTGATCATACATACAGGGTAGATACAACAAAATTTTTGCAAATCAGAGGAAGGATTAGCCTGAGCTGCTGCAACTGAGCAAACTGTCATCAATGGCTGATCTGACCAGCATGTCTGTAGTGGTAGCAGAAACTGTGGCACCCCGAGGAAATATACAAAGACGGGTAGAATATGCAAACTACACACAGAACCCTGGACTTTCTTGCACAACAGTGCAAACCACTTTATCACTCTGCTGCAAAGCTGATTTTTAACCTCCCTTAGTCTGCAGATTAAACAGATTATTTGCTAAATACCCTAATTTAGCTTCAAAACAATTTTTCCAGCTTGTCTAAATCCTGAAGAGCTCTATCAATATTTCTTAACTTTGCTGATATTTCAGAATTAGAACCTGATGAATTTTTGACACTTACATTAGTTTTAATGCTCCAACATATTAAATAGCATCTTCTTCCAATTTTTTTTATTTAGTTACTTATATATTTAAAAGGTTCAGCAGCTGCTTGACTTCTTCCTGAGACCAAGGGATATGATCGCATTGCCCTCTCACTTCTCTCCTTCTGCCATCTCCATGTTAGATTTTGCATTGATTTTAAAATCCTACAGCTCTACTTTAAATCTTTAACGGCCTTGCCCTTAACTTAAACACATCGCTGACTTATTGAGCCTTGCCGTCGTCTCCCAGTCCTTTGAGATCTACAAATAAAACCTAGATGCTTACACAGATTGCCTTTTTAGATCGAATGAGGACAGCTTTTTCCCCCCTTTTCGTATAAATAAGAAGAGTTGTTAAAGACATCATGCTGGGCATTGCGTCCAAAATATCTGCTGGTGACTCAGTAATTGGTTCTCCTCTTAGCAAAGACAAACCTAATCAGTATTTAGTCATGCATGACTCTATCGACTTGTGCAAATAAAGTCCTCTGATGATCGATGTGTCTGATACACCAGAGACAGCAGGATGTTTCAAGACAACTCTTCCACTCCCATCTCCAGGCATAAGTGCATATAAGCCTGTGGGAGCTTTGGGCATTTAGGGCATTAATATTCTGGTGTTGTTGTTGAAAAAAGGGTGGTGTGATTGATTGCTAGTGATGGGACTAGATCCATTTTAACAGGACTTTGGTATACATGCATTTTGGCTTGTTATGTATGACAATGGTATATACAACATTTTTTATTTAAAACCCATTCTTTAATAACTGCACAATGGGGTCTCTTTAGGTGTATTTTTCTTTGCTGCTGTCTTATCTAACTTTTAACATATTTGTTTCTGTTTTTTGTACCTTTATGCGTTAATTTGCCTTTTACCCTAACCCTACTAACCCTAACCCTCTGTTGTAAATAAAAATAATAAACACCTGAACTTATAGTATGATTGAAATAATAATAAAATAAAACAAGGAAATTAAAATAACATTAAGATAAAATTTCCATTAACTAGACAGATATTGCTCTTAATTTAATTCCCTGAAATGTAGAGCAAGGCAAGTTTATTTAAATAGTACAGTTTAGTACAAAGACAATTCAAAGTACTTTACATGAATGAAACAATAAAATAGAAGGTAAATAAAAACAGAATAAATGCAAGTAAATATAAAATATAATAAAAGCAGGTAGTAGAAAAACTCAAACAGTTGGACCACAAACTAATAAACTTCAGTTAAGAGTTTCACTTTAACAGTCAAACGCAGTTATAAACAAGTAGGTGTTTGACTTTGACTTTTAAAAGAAATCAGGATTTCAGCACTGAGCAAAGAAACAGTTAAGTAAATGAAGAGATGAATGAAATTACCTTGAAATAAATATTGAGCTCTTCTGTTAAACAAACAATAACTAACTATTCATCAATAAACAACAAATCCCTTGATCCTGCTTTAATAATAAATGAAAAGGCCAATGAAAGGAGGACTAAATGGGTTCAGTAGCTAATAAGAGTGTCTTAACTGCCCTGTTTATGAACCAATGAAGCCAAAAGTGTGATCTATAAAACTCTGTATGGCTGGAGCACCAATAATGACAGGATCACTGGGCAATACATGAAACTGATTTGCCCTGTTGCAGGTCTTCTGTTTGTTTGTTTGTTATTGGTAACATTTATATCTATATCATCATTCACATTATAACTTCAGACAAAAGACCTAAATAAATATATAGTAACTGATCCTTGAAAATTTTGGTGCTGGAGATGTTAAAAAAGTAAACACATTCTTGAAGTGGTGAAAACTGACCAGCTAGTCAGACATTTGCTGGTTGTGATCAAGTGCCGCTGATGTAACTAGAACTAATCCCCTTTTCCCATCCAGGAAGCCTTTTTTTTTATTCAAAATGTCAAAAAACAAGGCTTTGTTGGGCTACTGTATAAAGCCTTGAACTCAACGCTATTTCTGACGTTTTGAACTGAAAAAGCTTCCTTGATTGGGTGCGAACCATCTTCAGCCTTGGAAACAAAGTCCAGATTGTTACATAGTCCAAATCGTTTGTTTAACTTTTTTGGAAAGATCTCCTTGTACTACAGGTAACTTTGGGCAATAATGATTTCTCAAAATTGCACCTGAATTAAAGGAAATGAAGGCACAGTAAGTTTGTATGAGCTATGAGAACAGCAACTTTTAAACAGAGCGTGCAAGAGGAGAAATGGGTTTGTCCCTGCTCTTGCACTTGTTTAAAGAAAAAGTTCGGTCGTATTCAGAATTCAAACTTCTGAAAGTACTTTGAAAATGAAATGATTACTTGCTGTTCAATAAATGATCTGTGTTTTTAATTAAAAGTAGTTTTTATTTAGCTGTGCTTACTGGAGACATCAATTTTTCAAAGAACACTAATGCTAAATTCATTAAATCACCGTAAACGTATTACGTAGTTATAGATAATGATATATTGATCATTCCTTGCTGACTGGACTTGGCCTTTAATAGGCGTTTCCTCTCTGCAGCGGGTACAGGGTTGTGCATGTGCAATTTTTATAAAGTAGAGAGGGCAGATCTTTTAAAAATTTGTGAAAATGCTCCAAAATGCCTTTAATATAAAAGCATCAAAAATGAAGCAGCAGGCGCTTTTTTGCTGCTCCAATCACGTTAGGTGTGAATATAAGGCATGTGGCTATTGAGCGTGATTTAAGCTTATCATTAAATGTGGTTATTTGCATTTAATTAAGGATTTAATGAGGATTAGAATTATATTTTCACATAGGACCATGTTGGTTTGGATTTGTTTCTCCTCACTGAAATCATGATTATTTTACGTTTTTACTCAGGCTGTCTGTCCTTGATACTAAAACTTGGCTTTTAACTGATAATTGGGGAAAAAAGGCAACAACAGAGAAAATATGGCAGTGGTACAATTCGATAACATTTATGAAAATCTATATTTCTGTTTTTCCCCTTTTTTTTCTCTCTGGGAAACCGACTGTGACGGATAAGACTGTGCCCTGTGTCATAAATAATCAGTGTGTTGGAGTTTCTGCTTTGTTTGTAGATCAAAAGATGGGTATATTTTTTTAGATATATTTTTTTCAGTTGCTGTATGATTTATTACTAAGACTTCTACATAGAAACAGTTAAATGTCACACATTTAAAGGAAATATTGATAAGTAAAAATGGCAACACAGTACCTGCTTTGCTTTATAGTTTTAATAGCTTGCCCAAAGGGCTTCATTGCCTTGGAAATTATTGACAGGAATATGCCTACAACTGGAGTTCAATACATTCTTGCATTAGAACAGAGTGGGAACTTGATATGGTCTCTCTTCTTTTTGCCATCTTTAGAGAAAGTTTGATTGGCCTGGATTTTCTAAATTCACGCCTCTGTCCACGTGAGCTCTATTTTGGGGAAGCTTCTGCAACAGTAGCTCTCTCTGCAGCACCTTTTCCTGTTTAGTCCATTTAATCTCTGCCACCCACCCCTTACATTTCTGACAGTTTCTTACCTTTCTTTTCATTATTGAAGCCTTAAAGGCACATGCTGTGGAAGAACCTCAAAACACCCTGCTGTATTTGTTATATATTATTTACTCATCCCTCTTAATACTACAGAATCCATCCTCTGTTTTGCTCCTTGTTGATAAAGGATCTCCTTTTTTTATCTCCCCTTCTCTCCTTAATATGCCTGTTACTTTGCTCAAGGCAAGGAAATACTCCTAATCCTTGAGTCCATGGTTCATTTAGAGCAAGATGTCCTTGCCATTAAAGCTCTTTGTTGACTTCTTTAATATTATGCACATAGTTGATGTCCTTAGAGGACAGTTGTGCTTGAACTCTGAGGTTGAGGTTAAGGTAATCTATATCTTGTAGGCTAACTTTTAGCCTAGTCTGCAAAGGGGAGTCAAGTACCTCAAAAGTCCACATCTATAAAAAAGAAATAAGTAATGTTGTAGAAAGTGGTTGCAAACCAAGTTAATAAATAAAGGAAACTTTGCTTGGGTTCTGGCTAGTGCTGTTTTTAATAACACAACACAACTTTTGCTTCAATTCAGTAGTTTGTTGACTTTATTCTTTTGGTTAGTCCTTATCAGCTACATATATAGATCTTCCTTCTCAATTTGCAGTAGAAATTTCTAATGCACATGCATTAGAATGAATCTGCTACCACTATGGAGAAAGGTTGTATTTATCCTGTCTCGCTTATCAGAAGTTTGTAAATCTGATTCAGTGCTGATAGGAGTTCTTTTTAGCTTTGTATGCTCCTCTAATTGATGCTGCTAGTTAGGTAGGGGACTCCCAGTTTTATTGAATGCACTCTGTGCTATATTTTAAAGGGAATGCATTGTGTTTTCAAAATGAACCTTTATTTGTAGATGGTGTCTTTAGTACACGTGTGCTTGGGCAATCTTTATTAGCTGAAGTTGGCTTAGGAAATAGATTGGTCATAGAGAAACAGAGATCTGAGTGTAGCATCGCCTTGAATACAAATCAGGTCCATCACAGTATTTACGACAGTGTTTTCATTTAAGAATCAGATGTCAAATGCAAAGATTATGTCATTTCACTGCAACTTCAGAAACATGACAAAGAGATGGGGAAACAATAAAATCAAGATGCCGAAATGAATGGCCAAAGGTGTGTAATTTAACTATCCAAACTAGATGCAGACTTAGCATGACTGAAAACTGTTTATCTTTTTTCAAAAGGAATTAAGCAGCAAGGATATGTTATGTAAATAAACTGGTTGACTCTTAATCAGTTCAGTAGTTTGTAATTAACCTCTTAGCCAAGTGGTACCTTTAGATCCCACTAGCTTCTGCTTTTTATCAATGCAAACTACAATCTATTAGCTTTTTTGCTGTGTGCTGAGAAAACAGAAGTTATCCAGCCCAAATTTTCCCTTGAATTTCATCCTATTTGCATCTGAGAAATTCCATTTTACATCCAATATCCATTGATTTCGATTCTCATAAAAAGTTAATGATTTGGGATAATAAAAAACAAACATCAATTCAGCCAAATCAAGCAGGTTTCATTGGTTAGATACACCCCTGACAGGCTCCAACAATCAATCAATCACATGGAGACAGACACACAAAGGATAACAACCATGGATGCACACGTTAGGCCAGTTTATACAGACCGCTTTACAGAGAAGAGAAGCTGGATTATGCAAACTCCATTTAGAAAGATCCCTGGCCTTAGTCACACCGTAGGTATGAACACAATAAACACCTTACAGCTAGAGAAGTCAGCTACTCTGCTGGGACACTAACAAACAGGCTGCACTACTATGACATGCACACAAACTAATAGCATTACCATGTGAGCAGTGGAAACCAAGGTCAAATTCCTTGTTTGTTCCCCAACTTGGCTAATGAAGTTGATTCTGATTCTGGAAGGATGTGTAGCTTATTTTTATACCTAAAAGAGTCATATAAAATCAATCCTAGTGATTCTTGTTGTGAGCCAAATGCCCATTCAACAAAATACAGTTTATCTTTCATACAAATATTTCAAGGTAAAGGTTTTAGGAACAGCCTTGTGACTGTGTTTGATGTTGGAGCATCATGGGTTATAAATACTTCAAAGGTATGGCTACAGACTGATTCACAGGCATCTCAATTTGATTCATTCACTCAATGCTTGTGGACGCTATATATTTCCATCACCAAAAATCCAAGGTTCGCATTTGAAAGATGCACAAATAAATACGACAGATCTTGACCTAAACTTTGTGTTTATTGGGCATCAAAAGGACGAATAAACCTAAGGAATAGAAATGAAATACATCAAACTTCATCTGCAGCTCAGCAGCAATTACAAAGTTTATTATTCTCTGAATTTTTACCTAAAAGAGAATCCTCTGTTTTATAGAAGTATTAACTACAGGCTTATTAACTACCAAATGTGTATTTCTGTTTATTTTAACGGTTGTGGCTCACAGTTAATACAACTCCACATTTAGGTTTTCCCTTAAAATCAAATATTACACTAGACCATTTAGAAAAATGATAATCCTTAAATGGGGGCATACTGAACAGAAACTCCATATCTGCTCCAAGTTGTTCTGGGCTCCTTTACATGAATTGCTGCATCAAAGAGGTCTAGCATGGAGGACATTTACCTTTGGTTCTTCTGTGGTGTTCAGAATGTGCTTTAAGTTTGAGTTTAAGCGCAGTTGGTTCCTGTATTTGTCATCTTCCTCTTGCAAGAATCCATAGGTTCTCCAAGGTTTAGAATTAATCCATTTTGCACTGTGGGAATGTACAAAGTCAAGCTGAAATGAAAGCAGCATCTCTTCGGCATAAGGAAGCATGGCAACTTCAAACCTTACAAACCATGTGGAAAACAAAAAGTATAAATAAAGAATAAAGTAAAGAATAAATCATGACTGTTGAAGCTTCACAATGGAACTTAAATTAGACACCAGAAATTCAGTTTTTAAATGAAATAATAAACTTATTTTCATCCCAAAAAATGTTGTATGACCACTGGACCGTGTTTTAGATCTTTTTCTCCTTAGCCTAGGTTCGATGCTGCTGATTTTGGTTGTGTCTCTTTAAGATCTGCTTCAGGTGAAATATGTAAATCAAATCAAAATCAAAACTCTGCATGCAAGCAACAGCAAGCTGGAATTAAATTGTATAGTCTTTGTATGCAACCAGAGTAAACTAATCGCATAGCAATCTTTAAAGGCAGAGCACAGATTGACCTGGTCTCATTAAGAAAACAAAGGTACGAAAATATATTGAAAAGTTCTTCCTTTAAATTCGAGGCCTTTAATAAACAAATGTAATATTAATCATCCCAACCAAGCTAAAACTAATAGTGTTTTGTGCAAAATAAAACTAGGCAGTTATAAAATAACTGGATTCAACTATAAATCGAGTAACTCTACCTAAAGTCACTTATTTACAGTTTCCTTCTTTTTTTCTCTGCAGCTCCTGGGCATGGCGTTCTCCATGACGCTGTTCCACCACATCCACAGAACAGGAAAGAAGTACGACGCCTAACCTCAAGCAGATGCGCTCCTGCCTAATGGGATGAGACTGATTCAAACATCCATGCTTTCCCTCTCACTTTACAATGACTGTAAAGCATCTTTCGCCGCCCCCCCCTTCCTTGGCCTGTACAGATTTCAGCTGTGTTCCTGCACCTTTCCTGCTCTCTCTCTACCTATCATTCATTTTGCCAAAGAGCAACACAAGTGGAACTGAAGGGACACCTTCTTTTGGCAAGAAAGAAAACATCTATTATGAATGACATATGCTTTGTTTATTTTTTGCTTTGACTAACATTTTGCTGGAAGGAAAGTTGTTTTTTGAGACAATGAAGACTGAACTAATGCCCATACAGCATCTCCAAGGCAAAGAAAAACCCATGAAATGAAAACAGAGACTCCTCTCCTCCGTTCTGGAGGTTTTATTAATGTTTAGCGACACAAAAACCCCATTTTCCCTTGTAAATGGATCAATACCCAATATGGCATGTTAGTTTTTTACTTCACTGGCTTACCTGTCTCTGAAATTTAGTTTTTTAGGTTTTAGATTTGTTTTTATGAAAATTATCAGTGCCCCTGTGATCTGCTCGTATGCATTTCGGGTTGTGATCCATGATTTATTTTTTTTTTATCTGAGCTGTAGGACTTTGGGAAAAAGGAAATGTGTTGGAGTAGAATCATGTAAACATGCAGAATCTGCAGGGTTACAAACTTTAGTTCACAGCTCTGTCCATGAACCCACATTTCTGTGTTCAAGTTCCCCTTTGACGCAACATTCATAGTGTTAAACCGTCATTTATTAGTGCTTCACGAAACCTGTCGGTGTCTCAAGGGATCCGGGTGATAAAGTTGTTGTTTTTTTTAAAGAATAGACTGTTTGTGTGTTTAGCTCTGTGTCTTTGTTTGATCATTCAGTCCAAATTTCTGAGGGGGTAAAGAAAAATAGGATCAGAGAGAGAAAAGGCTAACAGCAGACATGTTTTTTTCACTGCTCCAGCCATCAATTGTGCTGGCAGGAAGAACCTAGAGGCTTTCGCTTTAAGCTCTCATCTATTCAGTCTGCCTGAACTCAGCCATGCCTCCATTTTTCTGTTTGCACCCTGATTCTCTTCCCACATGTCAGGAAGCAATGAGTTTGACATTCCTGCTCATTACAATGTCACACCTTTGGTTTGCAGGTTCACATATTTCATCTGAGCTTACTTTTCATGCAGCCTAAAGAATGGTGTGGGGAGGGCATATCAAAGTCAGACAGATAGGTATGGCAACATGCCCTGTAGGACACGTTTGTTTATGTCTGTTTACGCACTGATGCACAGCAGGAAGCCCCGGCATCAGTCTGCCTCCTGGAGACCAAAAATACTCTTCAGCTGTTAGAATCCCCCCCCACCACCACCACCTTTCCTGCACAAAATTCCTTAAGTTATAAAGAGATGTGAAGAATACCTTTATTGGAAGGGGATCGTTTCTGCTTCGACTGTGAGGCTTAGGATATTCAGTATTTGTCACATCTCTGCGGGTAAATTGTTTTGACATTTAAGAAGATGGAACAGAAAAAAAAATGAAGAGACAAGTTATAAAAGCAAAAACTTAAGCACGCACCAAGATTTACCGCTTTACTTTCAGCATCATTCTCAGTTTCCAAGGTAGAGTAAGGTTTTACATTACAGTGTACCAACACGCCTGCACAAAGTGACATAGGTCAGTGTTAAATTAGCAAGTCGCTTTATGCCGTTTGATGAAACGGTCAGAGGTTGAAACTGGAGCAGATCTGGCTGCTGATTAAAGAGATGATCAGATCTAAAATCAGGATAAAAAAAGAACCTGTTACTTTAAGACCAGGGGCCCATCTGTGTCCCTTGGACAGATGTCCCTAAAATGTTTTTAAAGATTGCCATTAAAATTTTAGCAACGTATTTTCTATCTACCGGTATATTTTCTAGCAAAGTCATGATTATAATTCCTAATTCTTAGTCCTTTGGACAATATTTTTATTTTTTTATACAAAGTTTTCTTTTCTACTTGAGGTTACTTATCTTACTGTTCTAATTTTCTATACAAACCAACGCTGCTGCCTGCACATTCCCTGACCTATTACAACAAAATCTTGTCTAAATTAAAAATATAAAATAAGCCTACATTTGATTAACTTCAGTTTATTGGAGTCATTATAATATATACATAAATGAACTGAAATTTAAACATAAAACTTCAGGGACACAGGAAGGTCAGTTTTATAGGCTCAATCCTTCTATTTTGCTTTTCCCTTTTCAGTGTCTGAGGCACTGTCTTTGTGGTTTTCTGCTGCTGCAGCGCTTACCTTTTATTGCAACACATCATTGTGTCTCCTAGTTAGTACCTTTGTTGGTTAAATAATCCACCCATTTGTATTGTTTGCATTGCACACGCTTGCTAGGCAGAATGAGGTCGAGACAGGAGCATTGCTTGATCTGTGGCATTCTGTTTTCATTTAATTCACAGCAACCATTCAGCTAAAGCCTGAGCATACAGTGCATAAAAGAAACTGGATGCCTATAGTGCAGCTGACTGAATAAATGACTTTATAATCCCCTCTAGCTCTCCCCCACAAACCTGCTATTCACCTGTCGAAAATGACTTTTTCTGGAAGCAAAGGTTTTGCAAAGGTCCTGCATTTACTGCATGTACCTCAAAAGCAGCCCTTGATTATAACCCATTAGAGCCACATGAGGCTCTGTGTCTGTAATCTAAATTTAGTCCAGAAAGGTGCAAAAAAGTTTTTTCTTTTCCCTTAAAGGTTTATTTCTGAAAGATTATTCGGGGACAAATGTAATTACCATACATTTTCCAACCAAGCAGATTATTTACTTCATACTGTATCTTCTTGGGTTATAACTGACATGTTTTAATTGGTTTTATGGCTGCATCATTTTAACGACAGGTTATTAGGATCTACCATGTGGCCCTTTTTAGCAACGCTTCTTATTGTGTCCATGGGGTTTAGCAAGACAGCCACTGCTGTACAGTGCATGCACAATTGGCTGCTACAGTACAGCTCCCCGCCACCCCACACCCACCTCCCACCCAGCTTGGCTGCCTCCACCCAACAGTGTTCTACCTTATTTACCACCTCGCTCTGCAGACGCCTGACTCCACATACAGACGCTGCAGAGAAACAGCTCAGCTCTTTGCAAAGTAGCACCTGTGGGGGTAACCTGTGCTGCTTTTCCTCACATTAAATAGAGAGGTCTTTATAAACGGATGATACAGAAAACAAAAGGACCCGAAACGCTGGAAATAAATCTCTAAATCTGATAACACTTTTTTTTTATCACATACTCTAATACTATGCCCAGATTCTGTTTGTGAACTTTGTCTCAACCCAGCCACAAACATTTCCTTTGTCTGCTTTTGTCAGAGTAAGGGTTCCCTTTGTGTTAGTTAAGAAGGCAGAGCCAAATGACATTTCAACAACAGCTGTCCAGTTATGTTATGTTGTTTGTTGGTCGTTGCTGTTTTAATGTTTGTTTTTTTTACTGTTGCTTTTTTTTTGTAGTGTAGGCAGTTTCGTCTGCTTTTTATATCCGTGCGTGACAGACGGTCCGCTGAATCTCATTGTACGCAGATGACACCATTAATTCTTCTTTTCTACAGGGGATTAGTCTTGGCAGCGCTTCTGTACAAGGTGCAAAAATGCCTTTTTTTGTCTTAATTCTGATGCAATGGTATACATTCAGAGTGGATGAAAAATATATGAAAAATACATACATATATATATATGTATATATATATATATGCGTGTGTGTTTTTATGTATATAGATATTTGCTGATTCTTGTCTTTATAGAGTCTGCTTTTTTTTATAGTTCAGGAGTAATTTTTGAAGTAGAATCAGTCAACCACAAAACTGTTTGTGCAAAGTTGGGAGTATAAAAAGTATGAGTTTACTAAATTATTTAAAGTTGCACTGGAACTTAACAGCTCACCGTACTCTCCAAGCTGCCCCAAAGCCCATTTTATTGCAAAAGATAACCTGCACTAGCATCTTTAGACAACTGCAGGTAATACCTTGCAATACACTTGGTGATGCCTGGATGCAGCAGCCATGAAGACCCATTCCATTAAGCTTTCTACTCAAAGTTACTGAGCTAATCTAAGGGTCCCATAGAGTTTGGAGAAAGTTAGTGACCTCTGCACAGTTTGCAGCATCTAGCAATCAGGCTCTGGGATTTTACACGGGCTACTGTACTTCTTTGTGGCTGTGTTGTTATCCGCAATTGCTTCCACTTTGCTATTATACCACTTACAAGACTATTTTTTAATAGAAAAAGGATTCTCTACACCAGTGACCATCAAAGTTGTTGGAAAACCTAAATTCAGTTATTCAATTTGCATGGGTTTAGCAAATACTTTTGGTAATATAGCGTACTTGTGGGTAAGGTCCACAAAGAGACGCACTGTCTGCATATTTTAGTTCTACTTTGAATAAATTATGATGTGCAGTTATAACCTGCAGTGTGTTTTTTTTTTTTTTTTTACTGCTCATGTCAGGTCCGTTATGTGTTTCTAAAGCGTCTTTGTGACACTGTGCCACGGAGCTCATGTCGCTCTACTATATCAGCACAGGGTCTCAGCCCCATGTGTAAACAGTACATAAATATATATGCTTATTTTACAACTGATTCAAGTCAGTGTTGCTGGAACACAAATGAATATATGAACACTGACAGCTCAATTTTCTAACAAACCATGTGCTTTTATGCTTAGTTAGACATATCTTTTTCTTGTATTTTAAATGTCTGTTTTTTGTTTTGTTTTTATTTGTTTGCTGTTTTCCCTTCACTTGCAGTGGCAATTTTATGTAAATGTCTGTTTTTATCTGTAAGCTTTTCATGTCTTGTTTAACTGGATTCTGATCTTGTAGTTTATTTCATTTCAGAGGAAGCATAAAATATTCTTTCTCATCCGTCAGTAAGTCACAGAGATGCCGGGGACAAAATGCGTTGCAGCGATCCGGGTTTGCGTGGCAGTGAGAGACTTTGAGCAGTTTCATTTCATTTGAATCACTTTATTTTTGCACCACCTTCGGCTTACTGTTTGTGTAATTCTGCTCGCAATGCGTCTTCTGAGCTGAAACTGAATCTTTGAGCAGTGGAAATGACGCTCTCCAGCAGAAGCGGCATGTTTGATGTTGAGTTCTCTGCTCGGCGGCATGGACTGATGCCTGCCAACATCATCCTGTGACTTCCTGCCACAAAGCTACACTATCTGAGGTGGTGCACTCACCTGCTCTTTTCTCCAAATCAACTATTTTTTAAATAAAAGAAAGTGTGTCACTAAATCCAACGATATTTCGTATAGTCATTGCCTTTCACGTTTAATCACTCTTTGCTTCTGATTTATTCCAAATGTATGTTGCTGTCAATTACATAGGCCACATTTAAACACTGATGCAGGTTTTATAGGGTGGGGTGGTTGAAGATCTTGGCAGGTAGAGGAAAGATAAGTGATGCCAGTCCAGATCCCAAAATGTCTTTAATTTAAGAGAGTGGTCTCCTCGCCTGCCTCTTTCTAATGATCGTGGAGTTTTAAGATGAATAATTGGCATTGATGAATCATTTTTACAAAGAACTAAAGGAAGGTGAGGAAAGTTCAGACCATAATAGAGCTGGATGATCGACACCATATTTTTTGTATAGATCTTGATCTCGCCTCTTTTTTTAGCCTTCTTGTTGTCAGAGTTGTGTGTTGGTATGTGTCTGTGTGTGAGAGACAGAGTGGATTCCACCATGGCTTTTCCTGTTTTTCTTTTACATTGCTGGTATTTCTATGCAAAGCCTATGAACTATTTTAGCCTTTGTACAGATTATTTTGTATGAGTAACATGTAATGAAATAAACTGAAAGTAATCTAGCATGGATTTTTTTTTTTCCCCTTTGTTATTATTAGAGTTTTTTCCTTTTTTTCCCCCTGTTCTTCATCCTCCATTAGAGTACATTTCATTAACCTGCATTCAGGAGGCTTTCAGTTTGATGAACCTGTATATTATCTGCCTGTGTAGCTTTACTGAGCTTGTTAAGTAACAATATATGGGACTTTAGGGTTTCTTCCAAACTTTATGGCTTTTTTCCCATGGCTTACTTGCTTACATGGTTTAACAAGAAATGATTATGGTGCACCTTCCAGCTAATGCTAAACATTTATAAAACAAACCAAGAGTAAATGGTGTGTAAATAATAAATGTGATGGAAAAGGGTCATTTGCAAGTAATTTACAGCTTCTAATTTAGGGAAAGCAGACTAAAATGTGCTTTTTGTTAAGGTTTGTTTTTGTAATTAAAAAAACAAAACAGATGTATTTTGTGCAGATACATTTTGTGCATTTCAGAAGTATATATAGGCCTACCTAAAAGCACTTTTTTCAACTGGTAGCTTGTTTTGGCATTTGTTATCAGTTATGTTCAAAGATACTTGCGAATAAGGATATGAAAGCATTCAAGATAACTATTATTATAGAGCAGTGTGAAGAGTTCAAACCAACCTTAACTTATTTTCTTTCTGAGTGAAGTTGTAAAGACATTGTAAAACCTCAGAAAACCTGGAAATCAAAAAGGGTTCATTTTAGAGAAAATGTTAATAAATAAGGTTGGAAATCAAGAATGAACTGTTAAAATAGTGGTTCCGTATGTGTTAGAACCATATGCATAAGCAGTGTGCTAAAAAAAAAAAAAAAGAATATGATCATCTTTATTATTTTGCATGGCCTACATAGTGGCACATATGCTTTGCAGGATAAGGTCCTGGGGTTTGTATCCTGACCATGGGTCCCTCTGCATGACTTTACATTGGGTTTTCTCTTGGTGCTCCTCTGTCTTCCTCCCACTGTCAGAAATAGTGTCAGTTTAGTATTTGGACTCTGCGGCCCTTTGTTAATATTGAACTCAAAATATGTGGCTGTTTTTTCAGTCAGAGGTATGAGAAATGTGGGTTGGTGCAAAACCTTAATGAAATTTCAATGATATGTCTTTTTTTCATATGCAGTATTTATATACATATTTAATGTAAAGAAAACAAGTATCAGAGGTAGGAGTAATTATCAAAGTGCCATCCTTTTTTAAGTTTAAAGGTCAGGTGGAGCACATTACCTGCTTTTAGACGTGGTGCTTTATGCAAACAGAAGGTGGACACTGGAGCGCTGCTTTAATCAGTACCACCTGGAACTTAACTTACTCAGGATGGTGGAGATGATGGTGCATTTCTGGAGAACACATTACTTCCCTTCATTCTCTTCAACAACACTCTGTTGACTCTGGATCAGATCAGATGGTCCTGAAACAAAGACAACTCAAGAGGAAAATCTAATCCATGTATCATTCATTCTTTTGTTTTTCAAATTAAAAACAAAAATTTAAAATGCAAAAATACGCTCCTTTTCTATTTGTTTTAAAACAAAATGGAAAAAACAGATAATGAGCCGTTTTCCAATGTTGTGCATAAAATTCATCCATCCATCTTCTTCCCCTTATCTGGCGGGGGTCACGGTGGTAGCAGCTTCAGTAGGGAAGCCCAGACGTCCCTCTCCCCAGCTACTTGGGCCAGCTCCTCTGGGGGAATCCAGAGGCGCTGCCAGGCCAGCCGAGACACATAGTCCCTCCAGGGTGTCCTGGGTCTACCCCTGGACCTCCTCCCGGTGGGACGTGCCTGGAACACCTCACCAGGGAGACATCCTGGTAGCATCCTAATCAGATACCCGAGTCACCTCAACTGGCTCCTCTCGACGTGGAGGAGCAGCGGCTCTACTCTGAGTCCTCCCCAGATGACTGAGCTCCTCACCTTATCTCTAAGGGAGAGCCCAGACACACTATGGAGAAAACAAATTTTAGCCGGTTGTATCTGGGATCTCGTTCTTTCGGTCATGACCAATGATGAGGGTAGGAACATAGATCGACCGGTAAATAGAGAGCTTTGCTTTTTGGCTCAGCTTTCTCTTCACCACAACAGACTGGTACAGTGCACGCTTCACAGCAGATGCCGCACCAATCCGCCTATCGATTTCCCGCTCCATCTTCCCCTCATTCTTGAACAAGACCCCAAGATACTTAAACTCGTCCACTAGGGGCAGCACATCCTCCCCAACCTGGAGAAGGCACTCTACCCTTTTCCGGCTCAAGACCATGGTCTCGGATTTGGAGGCACTGATTTTCATCTCGGCCGCTTCACACTCGGCTGTGCATAAAATTGAAAATGGAAAAAACAAATAACGCTCATTATCCTTTTTTATTTTATTTTTTGATCTCAAGCAAGTTGAATGACCTGGATATGATCTGGTTTGACATAAAGTTTGCTTGGAGATGACGCAGGCAGCGCCTAGCAACGCACACCGCGAGCTGCCTCAGACAATACGCTTCGCCCAGACACCAGTTTCTATATTTTTATGTACAAACCAATCATCTTATAAATTCCCTGACCTAAGCTATGCTATTTACGCTAAAACAGTATTGTTAGTTTACTTGCCATAGCAATGTTAGTACACAACAACATAAGTTATTGCTTATAAAAAGATTAAAGTTAGAATGCAAAACATTTCAAAGCAAAGTAACTTCATGGAGGTAATGGCGGGGGGGTCGTTAAATACAAGAGGAAGGCACTGATTAATGTTTTTAGTTTCTTTATATATATTTGAGATTTAAGACCTATTTATTTATTTGAGTTACCTTCTCTGATTGTGTTTTGCTTGTTCTATTTGGTTCAATGGTTTATGAATTATTGAAGTTTTAATTATAAAGCACATTTCATACATAAGTAGCACAAACAACTTTGCATATTAAAATCAATAATATTCTATAAAATGACAGAGCTGCAGTTCTAGGTTACATGACTTTGATTATGTAATTTAAGAAGTTACATTATAACTTTATTATGTATAAAAATGTGTTTCATGTGTGTTGATATGAATGAGAACAGTAACACAAATACTTACCTGTCTTGGAATCTAAACATCTGTCATAGGTCCATGAAGAAACTCACAGATGACAACAACGTGGCAATGTCTTCCCAATCGGACGATGATCAGACATCCAACCAGCACAGCCACAATTTCAAGTAGCACCACAACGAAAAAGTTTGTGAGGTGATGAAAGAAAACTTTTACTTCTTGCTAAAACATACTTTTTCCTATCGGTTATTACCTTTGTGGTGCATTATCTGCAGAAGTATTCTGTGTGCTGGCAAACCTCTGCATATCAACCATCTGTCAATGCTCTGCTCACAATTTGTCAGCAAAATTAAACTTCTTCAGCCTTCTTTCAATCTACTGGTCCAGTAGATAAGTCCATGTTTGCAATCTGCTGCAGAAGCCTGGTCGGGTGCAAGGCATGCATCATGGAGTGGAATAACAGCCACTACCCGATGTGTTGTGCTGTGGACTTGGGAGGGCAGCATCCATGAGTTGGCTGGATTCTCTGAGGCACTGCCTGCACTGGAAAAGTTTTTGCTGCCATAATTTTTATCTGTTAGAGTGACAACCAATGTTTTGTTTTCATACAGTCCAATACTAACGTGTTTGTTGTTTTATAAATTCTGAAAAATTTAGTTTTGTGATGCTGCATCTAATTTGTAAGCATAAAGCTGTTTTTTCAGTACTTCCACTTTACAATTTAAAAAGGCATTCAGTAAAAGTTTTTGACCTGATGCTTTCAAACAAGTATCAGGTTCTCCATATATTCAGAGCAGTTACTACAAGAAAATGCAGTTTCATAATTGTTACACTTGTATTTTTGATATGAAAAATTCAGTTTTTAACCAAGCTTCACATTTATTAATATCATTCAGAAAATACATTCATCTCACATGTCTTTCAGCAACACTTATCCAGTAGAACAGTGCCTCCTGAAACTCGCTGAAGTCATTGTTAAAAACAGATACTGTATGTCTGGAAACCTCGCTCCAAATAGCTGCTCAGCACGGCATTGGTCTTCCTCTGTTGAAAATGGATCAGAGCCAAAGGCAGATACCCAAGTCAGGGAGGACCCCAGCTCCTGTTCATACATCCATGCTGCTTCAGCAGCACTGGGCAACTGCTCTGCTGGAATTCTTGCTGGGCATCTCGCAACCTCTGCGTAAAATTGGTGATTTTTTTTTTCTTTTTTTTTTTTTTATTCTGAAACAAAACTGTCATACTGTTATAAAACTATATATATATTACCACAACTTACCTGGTATCCTATTGGCATTCCAGGGCTGCACAACTCTGCCAAGTCCTATCTGACTCACTTGACAGGCCAAGTTGAACACACAAATTTGTTAAGGTCATCCTGCATTTGGAGATATGATCTCGATCTATACTGACATAGTAGATGGATTAGGGCCTGTTTAAGGGGGTAGTTTAGCCTATTATTGACCTGGCAAATGACTAGCAGGTTCTGTTTAAATACAAAAAAAACATTATAGGAAAGCTAGCAAGGCAGCTTTATTTGTATTGTATTTATAATGTCCACAATTTGAAGTGCTTTACATTAAACAAAGCATTAGTGTGATGCAGAAGGGAAAAAAAGCATAAAAAAAAAAAAGAAAAGAATAAAAACATAATTTAAAATGGAAAAACAAAGAAGAAATCTTACTAACACTAGCATTGGAGGCTGTGCATAATTGGACTACTAAATAAAAACTTAATTTTAATTTAAATACAGCTTAGAGCAGGTGGGTCTTCAATCTAGATGTAAATAAACAGCGTTTGAGATGATCTGAATCTTTCCAGGCATGTGGAGCATAGAAGCTGAATGCAGCTTATCCAAGTGTGGTTCTGACTTGAAACTGATAAAAGAAATTATCCAGATTACTAAAGCAATCTGGTGGCTTCATAACCAGACAGCTACAGGAGGTTATGGGTGTATTCAGGTCCAAAACCATTAAGACCTGTAGAGACCACCATCA